ATCTTGAATCTTTGAAATCGAGATAAGTAAAGATTCATTTTTTCAGTTGTAAGGCGTTCGTAAGATAGCAGACTGTCTCGTTCATTCAGTATTGATGGATTAGTTTCATCATACGGCTTTCTTTAGAATCAATATGAAACTGTGTAATAATCGACGCACCCCTGTGATAAGAGTCGAGAATTGATAATTGTCCTGCGATATTATGGCGGAGATGCCAAGAATCAATAATCGCAGTTCGGGGGAGTTTCTTCTACTTTCTTGCTCTTCTCTTCTCGTGATGAACGCTGATGCAGCACTGTGATATCGCGTACATAAACATTTTAATTAAATCGCAAACATAAATATCGTAATATTATAGGAACTATTCTTTTTTACATACGAAGACTGAATCTCGCTAACTTGCGTATGAGTTTAGTAAAAAATAAAAAAGAAAAACCCTTCTTCCCCACTGGACCATACTCGGTGTATGATCGGTGACAAGAGAATCGGGGCGATTTTTCCTTCGACACGACGATCCTCGATTCATCGTACGAAGAAACGTTGCAGGAACTTGTGAACTATACGGCCGTATCATACGCGGTGTACACAACGAGGTGTATGCTGTTAAATTATTTGTTTAACGTTTCGTATAATTTCACTTTTGATTTTCAAAGTGATTTTTGTGGTCGTACGCTTCAGTTCGATCATCGGCTATTGTTGAAGAGACGTTTAAGTATTTTGCTCTTATACTTCAATTCGATCATCGACTATTGTTAAAGAGACGTTTAAGTATTTTGTAGTCGTTGCTTCTCCGTTACGGATGCAGACTATGAAGTTTCGGGTTCTTTCCCTCTTCCTTCTTGAAACTGCTATTAATCCTCTTGAAAAACCTTTCTTTCGTGGATTTAGAGAGGAAAAGCAGTGTAAGTCTCAGTGATATGTTAATTTCATGTCGAGGAAGCATCTTATTTCATAAATCAGTTAAATATTTTGTAGTGAAGCGTTGTTTAAGTTTGGAGTGTTCAGCGATTTCACGCGTGTATTCACAGCGACAGATTAAAATGATAATACAAATTTAAGTTAGTTATATGAAGCTTATACAGTTAATTATTAAATATGCTGATTGCTAATGCAATCTATAAATTTTCTGTTTGAGGAAAAGAACTTGCATATGAATTCCTTAAGATATATTAAGATAGTACCCATTTAAGAATAATCGTAACACTTCGAAAGATCGCAGTATAAAGTCTTTGATTTGAAACGTATATTTAACCCCCCCAACCGGGAATGTCTTTTAACAAAACCGCTTAAGTTAATTAAGACATTGATAGCTATCGTAATGACGATTGCGATTATTGCGTCACTTATGTAATATAAAAGCTTAACGAATGAACAATTGAATGTTCAAGTCCGGTTCGACTTCGCCGGCTGATTTTCGTTCGTTATACTCGCTTATCCCATCTAAACACGTTCTAGTAACTAGCGCGTAATTAAAACATAAAGGCCACCGATTAAAGAAGATGAGCCACTAAGATAAAAACGTATCGAACCGCCGCGAGAACAAATGCAAGATCGCGAAAAGTATGTGCCGAAGATGTAACCTGTTGCTCTCAAAAAGTATCGCGATTACATTTTTCTCTTCATTGATACTTCGGAACAGGTGTTGCAAAAAATCTGCTCTGCTTCATTTGTTTTCTTATTATGGTCCTTCGACGGGTGAATCCTTCAACAACAGTATGGTATAGCGCGCCAATCAGTTCCGCGTCCGCGGCACGCATTTTTCAGCACCGAACGTGAACTGCTTTCTCTACATGTCACTTCGCTTCATCGCTTCACTTCATCAGGTGAATGAGGTGATCACGTTTGGCGTTAACTGCGTGCCTGGAGTGCGGCATGTTTTGTCCTAATTCAGAGCGTTCGACGTGAACGACGAATTCGTCTCGTGTCCGAAAAAAAATGTGATCTGTAGCGATTCTTTTCTTTTTTTCTTATTTTATTTCCGAATCCGTTGACTCGTACGTATGTATGTATGTGTGCGCGACGTATGCGTGTGAGAGTGTGCTTATCGATAAATTGAGATTAAATCGCCAAGTAGTGCGGATCAAGCGCGATTGAATCCAACTTGTGAGGAAATGTGTCGAGTCCAACTTTGCGAAATGTGTGTGAAAGGGAAAACTGCGAGTTCCAATGCTGCGTTCGTTGGACGCGAATAGCGTGTAAAGTTTAATGCGGCATCGTTACAATGTCACGTGACAGACAAATTGCATCTTAATCTTTTAAGCTCCAAGCGTGATATCAAATGTCGACGTTGTATGACGCGAGTAAATACGCTGTGCATGTCAGTGATCTGGTCGGGGGACCAGATAGAAGCACGCGTGTACTTATTACTAATATTTGTGCATCGACGATGAGTAACAGCGATAGATGTGTATAGCCTTCCGAATTGAAATTATGATAGAAAAAATTGTCCGATACGTCGGTCCGATGCGTAAGCGCTGTACGTCGAATACTGTACTCTCTACACAAAATCTCTGTACAAAATCGCAAACTTCGTATTAAGCGCATTTTAACGCAATATAATGATCGGAAAGTTTCTTTGCATTTTTCGATGAAGATAAAAGTCCAAATCCGAAGAAACTTTCTCATCAACTCGATACAAAACTGTAGCTTTTAGAGTAAGATCTACAAGTTACATTCTCTTTAAGACGGAGCTAAATCTACACGATGTCGCTAAAACTTTCCATTTCTGAATTATTCAGGAAATACTGGAATGTAATCTTATTAAAAAAATATTGCGCGACGAAGATTTCTGTAATTAATTTAATTTTGTTTAGAACTTCTAAATAGGATATATGGTTACAGTGGAAGAGAAAGAGCTTAACGATCGCGCGTAAATAATGTGAACGTATTTATATATAGATTATATTTATATAATTTTCAAAAGCCACTCCTTGGTCGTTTCCGGCTAAAATGTCTGTTGTTATGGATAAAAACTTCGTTAGACTACGGCTTTGAGGAAACAAAAAAAAAACGATCACGAGATGGATTTCGTGACGTTTAGTCTTTTAGTCTAACAATTTTAATCTTTCTATAATTTTCACGTTTTTTTTCTTATTTTTACATACATGAGAAAGTTATCACAACTTCGCCCGATGTTTTTTAATTTTGTGGAATGGAATGGTGTCTTATATGTTTAGAAAGTCTGGATTCTTGGATGCGTGAACAAGATCCTAAATAAAGCTGCCTATTCTATAATGGGGGGCATCCTGTTGTAGTTTGTAATGTTAAATATGTAGTCAAAACCTAACTCTATATCTAGTCAAAACTGTACAGTGTTGCTCGGTGATTCACAAAAAAGTTTTAAATACACGCCGTGTCAACTAGATTTGTCGTTTCACGACGGAAGAAATTGGAAATTAACAATGCTTGCGAAATAATATAATTTATAATAAAAATCCCTGAAATAAAGGGCTTGAGAGTCACAGCAAGATGTACGTGAATAACAATGTATTTATTAAAATTGTTCAAACGTTTCGGTCTACCATCAGACCGGTCTCAATGAAATTTTTCTGTTTTACCATTGTTAAATTGGAACAATTTTAATAAATACATCGTTATTCGGCGCGTACATCATGCTTGTAGCTCTTAGTCTTTTGTGGATTTTGATTTCTAAATCATATAAGCATTCTGCAATTTATAATTTATGATGTTTTGTGAGAAATGATTGCTAAGTAAACTTTGAAAACTTACAAAACGTATTTGTAAAATTGCGCAATTTGCAAGAAATTTATTAGAATCCACTTTAACTGAGATTCTAGTTTTTAAACAGAGTGTGACGACTTAAAGAAACTCTCGTTAAAATTAAATTTCTAACTTAAAAGCCTAATATAATTCTTAGAGAGATTAAGGACTAAGTCAATTTTGTGCAATACTTCGCAAAATGATTGAATCTCGCGAAAACATTATAAGTTATTAGTAATGTTGCCAATTATAAACTCACTCCTATCTCTTGGGGCGATACTACTACTTTGCTTGATACAATCAAATTTGCTACAAGGGTGATAATATTATAAACATAAAAAAAAAAAGAAATTATTCAATTAACTGTGTGAATCACGTTGATTCCCATCGAGCGTATACAAATTTTTATATGTTTTGATAACACTTTGCGATGTACAAAAAGAGAAAAAGCGTAAAGATAAAAAGAGGAGGCGAAGAGGTGGCGGAATTTCCTGATAACGAGCCGTTTTAACTGCAATACCGTTTAATTAATTCTCACGACCAAAGAGAGGTAACGCGAAAAAAAGTGGCTTGTTCATTTTTTCCACCATGACATATTCCTCAACGCGACAAGTACGAAATGATAATGATATGTAACAGTGTGTATGTGTCTGTGAGCGCGCGATTGTATGTACGTTTAGATGCGTGGCTATCTGGGAAGCAAGAGAAGAATGAATCGGTTGTCGTACGAATCGCTTATATCGATCGAAAAAAAAGTAAAGTAATTAATAATTAATGGAAATATGTTTGCGTAAGCGAAGAGAAGGAAACATCTTTGTTATAACATATATTGAAGATAACAAAAGCGAAATATGTTACGATGCGATGTGTCAGAACCTTTTCATTCAGATTCTAACGATTCTATTCTATTCAGATTCTCTTCTGTAGGTTTCATTGAAGTGCATTTCTTATATATTAATACAGTATTATATTAGAACATAAGAAAATAAATAATATTAAAAATGCATTCCACGTGTTTTATTTCTGTGTACGAATCTGAAAGTATCATGTTGATTTTCTCTCAAGTGGGTGTTTGGTCGCAGCCGCGGACGCGCCATCGCGTTCGAGTACAGCTGACTCTCCATCTGGTAGTAGTTGCCATAAACTACATGTTCGAATATCTAGAGGTGATGCGCCATATCAGGTAACTGAAGTACAGTATGCTGACGTCACGAAAACATTCAGGCAAATCCGAACAAAGCACGTGATTCTTGGAAGTTTCACTCAATCGTATGTTTGATATAAATTTACACTAGATATATTCATATGTGATTGGTGAATTTTTTTAATAACTTGCATTACGCACTTATTCAAGTTTACCTCAATAGACTTTAATGTGCACTTTGGAGGAATACGTTTATCTATCTGATTAAATAGGTTATCAGTGACTTTGTTTAGGCCAGCTGACTGCATCAGAACGAAAACAATGTCTGAGCAATTTAGTTAAAAACGATTGAAATCCTTATCGTTTTAATAACAAGTGATTGGACAACGATGGGCTGAGTATAATGGATTTATTGAATAGTATTTCTGATATTCGAAAGGCTATCGTAATTTTCATTGTGCTCGATTGCCTTTGTTCGTCTTTAACATTCTGCAAAAGTCGTGGCAGAGGCTCTTAGTGATTGTTAAGATTTTCAACACAATCTACGTTAATCAGTGCTGATCAGTACAGTAATTTAAGTCGTTTAGCAATCATCAATGCGCAATGGAGAAGCAGAAACAGGTAAGATTACTTGCTTAGGCCTCTCATTTCTGATTTGTGAGCTGCCATTATTATTCTCTCATCATGCAGATTTTTAAATATTTTATTGGCATATATGCTTTTATAATACTCCATTAGTAATAAGTTAAGCATATAAGAAATTAGTAATGACATTAAAGATTGATCATAATAAAAATGTAAAAAATTGTTTTGTATTTTAGAAGAAAAAGCGGGACAAATCCCGTCGATCATTTCTGGAACATCAAATACCAGATGCACCTACACTTGAGGAATTTGAGTGTCTGCTTGGGGAATCGCCAACAAATTATCCCAAGGGTGAAGCTGTGGAAGATATAGAGAGTGAATTGCATTCTGCTGCTATTGACACAGAAGTTTACGAGAAAGAGGCTGCGGAGAAAGCGGCTCATGAAAAGGAACGCAGTCTACAAATTGAAACAATAAATGAGGTGCTTGCATTGACAGTAAAATATTTGATTTATATAAATATTATATTATTTTTTAAATGATCAATAGTTGACATTTTAAGAATAATGATGCTTATTAATGCTTATATATGCAGAAAATGTTTCTAAAAATAACTACAAAACAATGTTAGATATTTTATTATATATCTCAGGTATTGCTGGTAACTGAAAACTCCCATGACGAGATTGATGGCAAACTTTCTCCACCAACTTTTTCATCCAACAATACTTTGAACAATCAAATAGATCAAGTTCAAATAAATGTCTCCGCAATTCAGTTAGTAGACATATCGACTACTTCTGAAGAAGTCAATCAAGAAGCACAAAGTTCTGAGGATGTGGTCAGTGTAAAGATTCCGTGTCAGAAAAGTTTATTAAAGCTAGCAGAAGTTTCAGAGAGCAAAAAGAATACGCTGAATGCATTCAAGGATGTTAGACCATTCACGGAGCAGCAATTGGCATCCTTGTATCACAATCAAGAATTGACATTGGTGGATGCCTTTATAACCGAGTTTACCGACACGCAACTGAGATGTGGACCTCTTCGGCAGCAGCACAGACTGCACGAGCTACTGATGAGTTATCTAAGAGTGCGGAACCACCTAGTCGCAAACTCATATGAACTGGAGCGCCTGAAGAAGAGCTGTCGGGAGACGCAGAAGCAGCTCTGGTGTTTGGAGAAGACATCGGCGACGGAGAGCGGCGAGTGCCAGGACGGCAATCCTGTTAGCGCCACCCACGAATATTCCATTGCCCATTTCAACCAACAGACTTTGGTGGCGCTTTCCAGAACTCTGTCTGCCATCAAGGATACTTTGCACGACAGCCAGGCGTTGTACTGTTACGAAGCAGAGTCGTTGCGTTTGCAAATTGAACATTACGTGCAGAGAGTCGCTAAAAGTTTTAATGTGAGTTATTCTCTACTGAATTATTATCAAATTATTTAGACTTGTCTGTTTAAAGTTAAAAAAAAGCTAAGATAGTGCGGAAACCATTTTAATCTTTTTCTTTTAGGAATTTGCTAACCTTTCACAGACTGCTCCAGCAAATCTTTTGCCAGAGCAACCACCGTCTCAGACGGCTCCGCAACTAGTGGAGCTTAGAATATGCGTGACCGTCCTGTTCAATTTTCAACGTCGAGTTCTCAAGGACGGCAAGTTTGTCACAGACACTAGAGAGTGGCTGTCAAGGCTGGTAGCAGTACTTCTAAGAGTCGCTACTTGGCAGGATCATGTGTTTCTACTGAATCATATACTGCGATGTCCCGGTGGTGTGATGAATTGGGCGAAATCCTTCGTGCAAGTGCCAGTACCTCCAAAAATCTCGGGATGCAGTTCCTCACCGTTCAACGATGTATACCTTGATCACATGATTGCTACCCTTGCAGTGATCCTGCTACCTGTCAAGGATCGAGATAAATTCCTGGAGCAGGTAATTGAGGACGAAATATTTAGTAATTTAAAAAAAACTACAAAAATTCTTAAACTTAAAATTGTTTACAAATTTTTAACCGAATTTATCCCACAGGTGCAAGTATCTTTACAAGATACCACGAGCAGTCCAGGAGATACAGTGTGGGTGATGCTGGATGAAGAAGGCGAAGAAGATGAAGATATCGCCAATGTCGGCGCCAATCTCTTCGAGAGTGATTTGATTTCCCTCCTCCATCAAATTCCATTGGATTGGCTTTTCGAGCAGGTGCTGTTCATTCAGCGTCAAAACGATAGATACGAGCAGGAGGGAAATGCCATCACGGATCATCATATGTTGCGGCTCTTCGCCTTCTACACTGTGCTTGTTAGACTCCTCAGACAGGGTCTAAAGACTTATGACTCACCGAGATATCGACAGTTAGCGAAGAGGCTCAGCGCATTGATCAGAGACGTCGTTCAATATGCCAGCGATCAATGGGAAGCGTTTGATACGAGCCAGGTATTTTCTTCTTCCTTTGATCAATTTTTATTTGATTTTTTAAATAAAAATCTAATTGTGTGTGTGTGTTGTGTGAAGATTGATAATTTTAATTTTTATCAAACTAAATTCTAGATTAAAAAGCAATTAATTTTAAAAGCAATACCAATTTTGTACAGGTGACTGACGAGTCGATGCTGCTGAAACTGCAGATGGAATATGATTGCTTTTTCTTGAGAGCAATCCTCTGTATATTTTCATCGCGACGTTTAGGTGCCTGGCAGTATCTCGCTGCGATACCGTATAACATCATATCGTCTACTACTTTGTGGCATATCTTCTACATCCTACACACTGATTCTACGGCTAATGACATAATAATCTCGAATATGTCAGTCTCAGGTAAGAAAGTATGGTAAAATATAATCTTGCTTTCTCATTCAAAAATACAATGAATTAACAATAATATTCATAGATTGGGAAGCAGAGTTAAGTTGCTCTGAACTTCATAAACAGTTTGAAGAGAAGCTAGGCAATATGCCTGGGGATGAGTCTTACTTTTTACTAACAACTTTCGCTAATATGGCTATGGCGAGAGGCTACAAGGATTATGATTTTGTGAGGACAACTACGATCGATCTGTTTCAAGTATGTTAATAAATACATATTTAATAAGTCAAATGGAATTAAAAAATTCAGATTCAATTTTTAATATCTAGTTGTTGAGTTTAATTTAATGAGTTTAATTGTGTGTAGATTGGATTTCTCAGTGAAAAAACTCAAGAGTCCTGCTCGAAGGACGCAAGATCACTGTTATCGAACTTAACGAGCAAATATCCTACTCTTCTATCTGATATCTTGATGAAGTTAAAGGATAATTTCGTATCAGTTGGAAAGGTATAATATAATAATTTTCACATTACTGTTCTAAGAAATTATGATAATAATCTAACAAAATTTTAAATAATAATAATAATCGTTTGAATAATTTCAGCTGAGTTTATACTTGTTCACTGAATTGAGGATAGGAATGTGGGTGCCACAGCAGGAGGACATGACAATTCTATCTACCTGGTTGCATCAGCATCCTTTAACTTCATCTGAAAGTCACCTGGCTCGATTGATTCTCTCACATTTGAATTGGGGTCTTGACACGTAAATCACTTAAATATTTTTTCAAAGTAGAAATCTAGAAATACGTCTTGCAACATACAAACATATTTCTCTTCTAATAAACAATTAAAATTATAGAATAAATAATTAAAAATAATTGAAATACTAAAAATCTAAAATTATCGATTATAAACGAATTATACTCTTAACAGAAATGACGATTTGTACCTTCCGATCGATCTGCATCGACAAGTGGCGTTGCTGATCGTTGAACTCGTAATGAAATACGTGCCCGACACTCCAGTACAGACAGCTTCGTTGTTAGCCGAAGGTGTGAAGCAGGTAAGTTATCAATTGGTGACGAGATGAGAGCAGAACTGATCGAACTTCTGTTTATTTCGTACCAGGTTTCTTCGATAGTGAGACCTCAGAACAGCGAGCAGGCGTTTAATCTGTGGGCGTGGGAAATGGTGAACAGATTGCGACTGCACCAGTTAGACCGATCGAAACCCGTGAGTCAATACACCATTTCAAATCCGGCCGAAGGCCTCTCTCGCGTGCCCGATATGGATTCGGACTCCTACTTGGAAGTTCTCGTGAAAGGAGTGAGGGAGAAGCAGCCGATCGCTTGTTACGTCTCAGTGCTGATGACCCTGTGGGGTCACTCGGTGCCGCTCATCTGCGTCGAAGGCTTCAGCCAGTTGCAAACTTTGCAGTGCTACTATAAGTACGACCAGGTTTTGGTCTGCCTGCATCACCTGATGCCCTTGTTCCTCGAGTGTCCAGAGTCGTTGTTGAAGAATGACAAGTTCGTCAGCCTGATCGTGCCGCTTATCACTGCCGACCGAACGTACATGAAGATCGCGAAGAATCTCATCGCTCCGGAGTTCCCCGGCCCGATCCTCCGACAGTTCGCGAACATGATTGAATCTCATTTGCACGATTACGAACGGTACGCACAGGAAACTGTAAATAAAACGGTATTGATTAGTATAATTACAAATATTTTAAAGTAATGTCTTCAATATAACGTCGATTGCAGATATTGCTTGAACAGCCCGGAGCGTTTCGTGCATTTGTGGCTGAACGTGTTGGTGCTCGTTCAGGATTGGAATAAGGATCACAGCGTGATGTATTTGATGGACACCATAATTCGTGCAGCATTCTTCCATCTGGAAACGAGAGCGACGATGGAAAATATGTTTCAAAATCTCTTCTGTGTAAGTATCTCACGTAATTTGAGTCAAACAATTCTATATACTGTGCATAATATCTTAGAATATTATATGTAATTTTTTACTATAATAATTGTACAATATTGTTCTCTCTTTTAACAAGATATTTATTTTGTCAGCCTGCTATAGACGGAAGTATGGAGGTATGGATACGTAGAAATTAATAAAAAGTTGATACAAAAGATGTGTGTGAAGTTAGCGTATCATTTCGTGGAAACTCATTAATTATTGAAAGACCTGGCTTTATTTTTAATAGTTCTAGAGTTCCTGATAGATTAAACAAATACTAGAACTATTAGAAATAAAGCCAGAACTCTCAATAATTAATAAATTTCCACGAAATAGTACGCCAGTACGATAGTATTTCACACACATCCAAAAGTTCCTTCGAATTTTTAATAATTAATAAGATTGATTTATTTAATCACTTTTAACTTTTTTTATTTTTTTATCATTCTGCAATTATTATGCTACATGCATTTGAATATATAATTTATAGAACATATCGCTGACTCGAACACCAGGATCTTTCGGATCATTTCTGAGCTGGGCAACGGGATCGTCTAATTCGGCGAGTCTTCTCGGTGGAACCGTTCAGACGGTATGGCTCGCTTACCAGATTTTGTCGATGGAACAGTATGATAGGGAGCTGAAAACCGGACTGTGGCGCGAGATCCTCCGGGAATTATCTATGCAATCCAAGATATCTTTGGATACTGCTCTCAAGGTTTGAAATCGAGCATATAAAAATGATAATTAAACGCTATATGAATGTAAAGTTTTAATTATTGCGAAAATTGCTTCAGAGAGCCTGTGCAACGGTGAAAATGACTCCATTTGGGGTGAACTACCTGGCTATTTATCGCTGGTCTCAACAGGCTCTCGATACACCCGTGGATCATCCAATCCTGCCTCTTTTATGGCAGAACTTCTTCTATTTATTCCTCGCACGCACTCCCACCACTCCGGGGTAACTATTACTATCTTGTTTCTCAAGAATTACAAGAAATTAATAATGTTTGATATTTAATATTTTGTTCTTTTTTAACGAGAAATTGTGACGAGTAATTTTATCGTAATTTATTTAACTTCCTAACCTTTAAATAATCATTAACTTCTTACAAAAGTAACTTTATACATTAAACATAAAAGAAGTACAATCAACTTTTTTGTTTTAAATCACTTCAGATCTATGGATAAAGGCGGGGTTGGAGAAAAGTTTTTTGAAGGGATGATAAATCTAAGCTACTTGAAGAAGTTGAAGAAACGACTACACGAAACGACAGAATATTTCCAAATGAAAGGAGAGAGGGATATGGATAATGGTAAACCGATCACAGATGAACGGCGTGTATTTTATTTCAGTGCTGCAAAGTAAGCGAGTGTATATTAATACAGAGAGCACATTATATTGATTAAAAATGTGTCTTACGAAACGATATTGCCACAGATTTTACAAAACGTTGAGTCTCTGGCTGGAAGAGCCTCGTCTTCAGGAACCTGGACTTTATCTCCCAGCTTTACCACCGCAGTACATGTCGCAGAGGTTGATTTTGCTAGTGCAAGGAGATCGAGTACGTCAATTACATTTCTAAATCACATATTTCCACATAATAATAATACTATTAATACGTGCATTTTACAAGTTTTAATGTTTTCAAGTACTTACAATTGACCGATGATATTGAGAATAAGATTGTTGGTATTATTATGATATCCGTCAACTCTCTCTTTCAGACTCCCTGGCTGGAATACATCGACTATTGGGCGGTGCAGCAGAGCCAGTTGAAGGCCGTTCACGAGTGGGAACGCGCGATTTATCGCGATCCTGAGAATCAGTACCAGAAGCCCTGTCCATCCTCAGCGAGCGCTATGGAATCGATCGATCCGCTTCATAGAATCTTCCGTAGACTGGGATCTTACGAGTCGCCAATTCCACCGCCACCGTTGAGCCGAAACCAGCCCGTCCTGAGCTGCATAGCTAGAGAGAGCCTTTATAACTCTGCTGCCGTCATTGATCTAGTCCGACCGCATCTTAAGGTTATCCTCGATTACGCGCAGACATACAATCTTATGGTATCCGAGCACACTGCAGTCGATTGCAGCTTCCTCGAACTAGTTCCGACTCTCTATCGCATCTACGAGAACCATGTGACTCTGCACGCTCTCTGCGATCCCGCGCCACCCGGCCAGAGGCGCTCGAGATCGGGCACGCCCCCCACTGTGCATTGTGCGGGTGCAGCGATCATCAGGATCAAAGTACGGTTAATTAGAATATGAAATATAGAATATAATTTTGGAATTATTTTTTAAAAAATTTGTAAATTGTACAGGTTTCAGAAGCGCATGTCAGTGAGGGCGTAGATCACATGATAACCCAGAATCGAGCCGAATACGAGAACCTTTTGGTGAAAGCTAGTCAACCGCCACCGAGTAAAGTTACTCTAGGCTGTGTTTTTACAGATCATTTGATTGCGTAAGTAATTTAACTCGTTGACCTTTTATTGACCTTTTATTGTTTATAGCATAATTTTATAATTATGCTATGAATAATTAGTTTTCACATTTTTCTCTACCATTTCGAATTATAAATTTTCACAAAAAAATTCAAAGACATTTAAGACATTTTTAGAATGTCCTAAAAACGTCCTAAATCATATGATTATTTTTCTCAAACCCCATCTGTTTTCGTTTTTCAGAATGCTGGAACACGAATTAATCATTAGTCGCACTAACGAGAATACTGCGGTGCTGCGCAAGGTGCAAGAGAGCGGAGTCAAGCTGTTCTATCACTTGGTAGAGTTTTACACCGAAGAAGCTGCACTGTGTCCTCCCACAAAACAGCTTATCACTACTTGCTTGGAGAAGTTAGGACAGGTAACATCGAATCTAAAATTTCGATTAGTTGGAGATCGTAAATTTATCTTATCAATTTGACTTATTATCTTGCTTTCAGCTGTTTATAAGTGGCGAGGAGGCCCAAGGACCGCAATTGCTGAGTACAATCATTCAGAGACCTACTCTCGGAGGTTTATTGGGACCACATTTTACGCCTGTTGCTGGAGGAGCCGTCACGTTTTTGCAAATGTATCAAACCATCGTAGACTTGTCCACTGGATCCAATGTCGATTTGTGCTTCGTGTTACTGTCGAAGGTAGATAAAGTTAAACTAAATCATCGCTTTTCGAACTATTGAATTATTGTTTTTGTTACAGTTCGACGTCGGCAGCTGGTTGAACTATCGCCGTCCGCGGTTGAGCGAGAGATCCACCTTCATAGATTTAGTTTCCAGAGCCTTGTGCAATATCGGCTTGAATCCCGAAGAGGAGAAACTGATGCTGCACGAGGTGAGCATTCTTTCTATATCTATTTGTTCCAAAATATAATTTAAATACAATTAATTTATTTAAAAAAATTAATTGTATTTAAATTACACTTATAATTAATTTAAAAATTGAATTAAATATAAAAGTTTTATTGCGTTTTATATTTAAAAAAAAAATATATATATGAGAAAAATCATAAATGATAAAATCATTGCTTACGCAGCTCTTTCGAAACCATCTACGACTCATCCTTCTGCACGAATTTCCCGAGCACTATGGCGAAGTGTTAAGTGCGGTTTTAAGAGGATCTGAAAGTCAGAATTTGTCTCTGGATGTGTGGCGCGACTTGTTGAGCGCTCTCAGCAGTAAACCGAAGAGCAGCGCGCCCATACATTCCTTGAAGATTAGGGACGAGATCAGACATTATGCCACGGAACAAAGGCTGTTATCTCGCCAAGAGGTTCGTTTCGTCGAGTTTTATTATTTCAGTATTTATTATGCATCAGCTTTCATAATACTTTGTTCAATTTCAGATGCACGATACCGCTGTACTTCTTAGCCGGCATTTCATGAAAGAGAGGCTGCAGTACGGGCTGTACGGATTGTATCCAAAGTATAGAATCTACAATGAGCCATTGACTGTATTTCTGGGCATGGTTGGCCACGCCCTGGTTGTGTTGACGCTTCAGGCTGACCGAGGATCGCTCGCTGATCAATGTGAGTCGATACGTTTCTCCCAATACGAGTAAAAATTTGAGAATTTTAACTTTATAACACACATATATTTAAAATACTTGCATAACTATCTGAGTTTAAAATCTCTAAACTTACACTTACAAGTAAAAAAAATATCCTTTCAGTGTGTGAGAAAATTTGGCCGGTGTTGAGCGAGATGTACGCGCCGTGGGTCACGCCGTACTGGACGAGAAATCTGCGAGAACCGACGGCCGCGTGGATTCAACAACTGACGGATGATAGATCAGTGCTGCTGCCGTGGATTATAACCGACGGTCCCTACGCGAATCGGATGATGGCGATGTTCGCCGAGTGCATCCGTTTTATCGTCGACACCATGCCGGCATCCAGCAAGATCCTCAGCTTCGTATGGCAATTTTATGTGTTCAACTACGCTCACGCGTCCGTCAAGGATCACGTGTTGAACGTGGTGCACGGTAACTTTCTGTCTCTCCCTTGGGACCGTTTCTCCCCCGCTGTCACGGATGTCGAATTTATGATCAGAGTTGTTGATCAGTATCTACCGGATTGTCCTTGTTCCTTGGAAGCATTTTCGCCTGGATCAATTGGTCCACTTGGATCGGCGAGTTAACTGCCACGCAACCGTTACCTGTTGCCGCCAGAATGCACATTTGTCTACTGAACTTGCTGGTGAAGCTGTCCAACGAGCCCAATGTTAGACAGGTGAGAATAAATAAAATGATTTCAAAATTTGAGAAATAAAACGTCCGTCAAATTAAATTTTTAATGGAAAATCCAATTTTTGAAGAATGTAAGAAACAAGAGTAGAAAGTCAGTCTAAAAGTTTAATGAAATCTATGATGTCGTAGAACGAGAAAGCGGTGCAGTTGGTCACAGAAGCCGAGAGCTTCTCCTGGCACTTAATCGACGCCGCAGCGTACGATCAGATTATCAATTGGCATGTAATGAGCTGCGATCCCAGAGTGATTCTATGTTTGGGCAAGGATCAGACACATCCCATCGACACAGCTGTTAACAAGTGAGTTTAGTTCACAGTGCATTTATGGCATAAGTATTACATCGATGCTAAGAATGATTTGATGTACAGCTTGCTGAAGATAGCAGCAGGCTACGATCCCACGGTGAAGCATTTTCATCCCACCACCTTGAAGAAGAGACAGATGTACGTACGTTCCTCGGTGAAATTGTTAATCAACTGCACCACGAGACACAAGTCCCTTCTCTCGACCAACAGCAAAGCGTTCACCAGCACGTTGTCGCGGATGCTTGACGAGATGGAAACCGTCATCACTAGCAGTGAGTATCTAGATTTCAAAAGATAATTCAAGAATTCAACATGCAATAATACAGCAAATTTCAGATTTGCTTTGATCGAAGCATTGTCTAAAACTCTTCTTAAAATATATTCAAATATGGAATTTTTTCCCTCAGCCGTCTCCGAATCGCAACAGGTTGCCGAAGCCGGCTTATTGATCACCGAATTTTTGCACTCGATCAATCAGAGCGGAGCGCTGATCGATCATCTTCGCAGCAGCTGGACGGCGTGGCTGTTGGAGCGAACGGCTAACAGCCCGGTGCTGATGGGAGTGTTGAAGGTGATAGGCATGGCGGTTGCTTCCTCATCTACTTTAGGTCACCTCATGGAAGCTGCCTTGGAGGCTTACTTCAAGTACAACGGTGATAAGTTATTCCCACGCAACTTCTTACTTTGCGCTTCATTTAATAATCAACTATTAATAATTAAACGATACTTTGTATTGATTGACATTCTTTCTTTTAGTAACGGAAGACATTCGTCCTACGTGGGCGTCAGTGCTTGTGATCCTGCAGTCCGTGGTGCCTCGTCAACCGCCGTTGGAATCTGTGCTCGTCTCAGAGGGAAGATTACTGGCTCTTTACTCCGTGCTGCTGAAAAGACTTCCGTCCTGCAGAGACATTCGAGAGGAGGGTATGCTTCTGATCAACCTGGTGGATTGGATCGGTGCTATTAAAACCACGTAAGTAAAGAACAAACAAGATTTATTATACTCGACGGCGGAACAATATATTTTCACGAACATGCCAAATCGCAGTTTCTTCAATTTTATTCCTAAAAATCAACTTATTTTCCAGAGACATTGTGGAGGAGAAACTGCCTCTGCTGTGGGCGAAAGCGTGCGAACTGGCCTACAGGCAGTGTCAGTACAGCGAAAACACCGTGATCGCTGCTAGAGCCTTGAAGGGGCTGGCACGAGCATTGCTGACCGTAGCGGACGATGCGGGGCAAGGATGGGGTATTCTGGGGGCTATCGGGTTGAGAAAAGGCTCTCAGCTCACTATACGGTAAACTACGAACGCTATGAAAGCGGACTCGTGCTCTTTCTCTGCATTTTCCGATCTCGATTGTCCGCTCGATTTTCTCGTAGGTGCAAATTCTTGAGCCGCGCTACGGCTGTCTATTGCCTGGCGCAGTTACCAGAATCCAGATCCGATCAGCAGCTGGTGAGGTACACTCCACACTCGGCCGGTGTGGCGCCCTCGAGATCGACCGATCCGGACACAATGGAGATACGACCTAGCGCAGAGGCTGTGAAAGCGATGCAGAGTCTGGAGGGCCTCCTGGTGAACAAGCAGTACGCGGAGCTGCGAGGAGACGTGGAAAAAACCATCAGACTTATCCGAGATTCCGCCAACTCCCTTCACAACGCCGTCGAAGTCATCGGCGCTCTCACCACGGAGCTCTACAATCAAAGATATCTGCACGTGTTGACAGAGTGATATTAGTTTTATAGTGACTTAGCCGACTTAGTGATGGGCTGACGAACGTCTTAAATCGCTCCCAAGTGTTCATTTGCATGACTCTCGAACGAATTTCGAGTCATTCAACTAAGTCTTAAAAGTTTCAAGCATTCGTAATTTTGTTTCAATGATTTTGACGTTTTTAAAATATTGCCATTAAATGATATTCAAAGTCTTGGAATTCTACGGTGATTGAATTGCTTGGAAACTTGCTAGGCGAAAGATCGAACGCCCATCGCTATATAGATTTCACCAAATAACATCGCGTTTAAATTGACTGCACAATGCCTGTATGAAAATTAAGGATTGAGAGCGCATTATAATTGGGTTATTGATATTCGATCAATAATGGAATCCTGATTTCAAATGTATAAATTATGATGCAAGCTTAATCTTGAATTGTGTATACAGGTTTAAGACAATTCGCTCACGTGTCTATTTCGTCCTATTATTTATTTGAAACTCGATCTAGTCACAAAGTTGTTCCCTTTTTAGAATGTTATAAAGATTAGGATGCACTCAATTTAAACGCACACGATTACGCAGACTATTCGTAATGTATAATTAATTATATTTAATGATACATTGTTTATGTAATATAAAATTTATTATGCACTCGATTCGCATCATCGATGCTTTGTTATCTGTATATATAAACAGTACGTTGAGCCAATGAAATATTTGATTTATATTCACGCACTAAGATTCTCTGCCAATACAGTTAGCTTACACTTGACTGAATCTGTGAACACGATTTCTATCGTCGATATTCTAAATTGCACGAGTCACTTAACAGCAGCTTCTATTATAAAGAAATGTCAATCAACGAAAAAACAAATTCGTTCAATAAATAAATTCTTTAAGTCAAATCGCAGGAAGTGACAAGACAAACTACATCTCAAAGCTTCTTCGAAACTCGTTGAGATACATTTACTCTAAAATCAGCTAGCTGTTCTTGAAGTTTTATGATGCGCGTCTCGCAGCAGCTGCGAGGCCTCGCCGGGTGGATACTCGATCAGCTCGCACTCGAATTGATCGCCGAAAGCGTTCTTAAAAATCGGCAGCACATCGGCAACCGTGACGTCCATATCCAGCTCCTTGGAAATACTAGTGACGCCCTTGCCTTCGATGCCGCAAGGTACAATGTGATCGAACCACCTGAGATCGGTGTTGCAGTTGAGCGCGAGGCCGTGCGTAGTGATGTAGCGGCTGCCGTGGACGCCGATGGCGCAGATCTTGCGATCGTCGACCCAAACTCCAGTGTCCGGCGACGTCTCTCCCTTGATACCGAGCTCGGCGCACACGCGAATCACCATACGCTCTACTTGATTCACGTACCATCTCACACTAGTGCGAAACTGCTTCAGGTTGAGCACCGGATAGGCGACTAGCTGGCCGGGTCCGTGGAAAGTGATTAGACCGCCGCGATTTGTCCTCCAGAACTCTGCGCCTAGATTCCTCAGCTTTTTCTCATCTTCCTCGGTATATCCTTTGCTCCGAATTCCTACCGTGTACACCGGCTCGTGCTCCAGTAGCACTAGTGTATTCGCCGGTTCTCTCAAACGCTCGTGGTGATAATCGAATAAAGTCTTCTGAAGCTGTAGACCGACTCCATATGGTAGACGACCGGCTAGTAGAACTTTTACCACTCGCAAGCACATCCTGAAGATTTACAGGTGTTAAAACAAATATTCTTTTAAGGTAAGAAACGATGATTTTGTTAGAATGCAAGTTGGTTGTTCCTGAAAATGTATGCTTTATATTTATACTTTTGCGCAGTTTTTTTGTTTACCTGAGATTATTACAAATCTAGGCACCAGAAGTTATTAGCATACTGAATCCCTTTGTAGATAATAAATAGCAAAGTTCTTTTAATTTTGCTCCAATTTTCCTGCACACACACAAAGAAAAAAATATTAGTAAAATAATATAATTTTAAAATATAATTAAAGAATAAGTAAAAATTAATATTAAATAAATTTCAAAGCTAGAATTGAATCTTTTTGCATATACAAGAAGTGCATACATCTAATGAAAAATGTATATGCATTATTACAAACTTTTCAATTGCAAAATTATGTAATACTAAAATATTTTCAGTTCAAAAACTTTATATTTAGATAAAAAAGAATTCCATGCAAAAATTAAGTTTAGTCCTGCAAAATTTATTTAGATCAGTTTTCACCTAAAAAAACAGCAAGTTTTAAAATAAAATTTTTAGCTGGTTAAAGATTGACGAATAACATAGTGTGCACCTTGTTTTATCAAAAGTATTCAATTATCAACGCATTTTTACATGCTGTGGCAAGTTCCTCGACGGGCGGCATAATTCTGCAGACACCTGCAAATATATTGCCCTGAAAATTAAGAGCGATGAAGAAAAAGAATCACAAACGAATCCCATGTGTTACTAATCTCAAAACTGGCGAGCCATACGACGGCTCGTGTCATCATCGTGAAAACAAACAAGAATAAACCTATTCTTCGATCAAATTGCTTTCAGGGCTAAAAATTGCTAGAATTCTTACTGTATCATGGATTCAATCGCCGGTTTACCATCCATCATCTGGCAAACAGCTGACTGCAGCAGACGCTGAATAACATCATTAATACCGCACGCATGCGTAAGCCACGTACACGTGAGTTCTGCGCTTCAGACACTAGAAAAGAGCAGACATACTATTTCTGTCTCCTTTCTTAGCGGCCATTTTAACTGGGATTTTATGAATTTGTTAACAGGAGCACATGATGATATAAGAAGTTGTTACAGGAGCACATGATGACAAAGGAGCTAACTCATAACATTACAAATGCGTTGATGGTAAGTGTACCGACTGCACTAACTGGTTTACATAATGTTGTAGATGGCATTACTACGAGTTAGCTCCTATATCATGTGCTCCTGTTAACATTTTTAATTCTTAAAATTCCGGCTAAAATAAAGCATTTTTGGCAGTTCCAGCGGGTAATTTGATTTTTTCTACATGCTTCTGGGCTACCATTGAGGTGTTAGAATGCTCGTAAAATACTTAAATAATTAAAACGTCTTTTAAAATTTTTGGTAAGTTTTTATTGCAAAATTTAAAATGCCAATTGTTAAACTAATTAAAAAATGTTTTTTAAGAGGACGTTTTTATGACGTCCTAAAGATGTCTTTTTAGGATATTTTTAGGGCGTCCTAAAAATATTATATTTAAGACGTTTTTAAGACGTCTAAAGACGTCCTTATATTTATAAAAAATCTGACAAATCTCAAATCTGGCGTCACTGTGCATATCAGATGAAGAGAAAAAAGAAAAAAGGAAAGGAGAGCTTTGTAGAATTGAAGGATATCTTGAAAATTTGCATCAAATGCTTTTATATTAAACATAACATCTTTTCATAGTTATATAATTAAAGATCTCGAACCACATTACAAAGGATCAATCGTTATTTGTATATAAATTAATTGTTACATCGATACAAATATATAAATTTAATGATTCTAATATTAATGATATCTTTCGGATGTCTTATTTTAACATTCCTAACAATAGCATTTAGCACAAAAATAAATAGCACTTGTCCACTTCTACTCACGCACGCACTTTCTTTTTTTTCTCTTTTTCAGCGCGCGCATTTCATCAAATTATAAAAATTACTGTTTTAGTAACGCGTAATTATATACATGATTGTTTATAATTTATAAATATACAAATTTCTCTTACAGCATCTCCAAACATATAAAAATTTGTCAAGTCTCATTTTCCCTCTATGCATTCCTTTTTCCAAATTTTCACCAGGCCAATTTGTTCTTTACAAAAATAGCTTATTTTTTAGTTTATTCCAACGCTTGATGATAATGATAAGATCTTCGGATGTTGACCAATCTTGTATGACAAAGGACCAATAGAATTATTATTAATCGCAATGTATTCTGCGGATTTTGTAACGTTAAATTCAGATATTATTTAAAGACAATTTCGCTAGGATAAGAGCTTTGCCGAATTCTCATCATTTTGACTTTGCTTTTCTAGAGCAGCAGCCTTTGCCTGAATTGTCGTGTAAAGCAGAAGAGATACCTGTGTACAAAAAAGTTGTATTATTTCAATCGAAATATTAAAGATCGAAATTATAAGTTGATCAATTACACATACGTAAGCATCCGTGGCTGCATAATTCTTTTGTGCGTCGCTAAGGGGTTGTATATGCCACTTGCTCATTCGCACTTCAGGATTCTTGTCAATTTTCTTCTTCAACTAAATATAGAAAAATATGATATTAATTTTGCTTACTGATTTACAGTAACGCAATATGAAACAAAGAGTAATACCAAATAAGCGGTCAATCTTTCCAAACTCCAACGACAAGATCGCTTCAATACTTGATTAGCATACGGCCCGCAGTCCAGACAATTGTTTTCTACCACCTTCTGAGCAGGAAACTCCTTAAAATCTCTTCCAAGCTTTCGTACGTCACTGCAAAAGATCAAATTTGCGATTATAAATAGGCAACACATGTAGGAAATATATTACAATATAATTCTTATAAAAGAGCAAAGAATCTTAAGAATATATTTTTTAATAATGCAATTTTTTAAGGATAAAATGATACTAAATCATTACTGACTTTTTAATGGCGACACCAACAAGCTTAACTTTTGGATGACACAAGAGTTCAACGAAAGCTGCCGGAAGCTTTTTTAGTGAATAAATATGTAAGAGATAACACACACTGTCCTCCAGACAGATCTGTGCTAATGCTGTCTTTCCACTGCCAGTCTGGAAGCTGAAAGGCCACTCCAAATCAAAACCTATTGGCACAATCTCTTTTTCGCTAGATTTCACCTTTTGTCTGGAAAAAATATTTAAAAAATTGTATCTTTAATTATATCAATATTAAAATTCTGAGATACTAAATACATTAAATTCTAAAATATTAAAAGTACATATAAACTTATATCTTTCATATTCATAATTTTTCATTTTTTTAATTTTTTTATTTTTTTTATACAGCTTGCATCTATACTTCTATAGTTCTTTTCTTTATATATTTCTGAGAAATATCACACTCACATGAGATTATCACAGATTTGGGCGCAATCAAAGAAGTCATTAACATAGTGAATATTCCCCTTGTAGACAATTGGTGGCAAAGTCTTTACGTTAGGTTCTTTCTCAGGTTTCGGATGTTCTTGCTCTAATTTTTCCTACAAAGGAATAAGAAGTCAATAAAATAATAATTTTAACTCCCTTTAAGGGAATAAAAGTAATAAAATATAAAATAGAATATAAGATAAATCAATAAATTTTGAATCCAATATTGTTTGGACCTTTTTATGTGTATATCTGATAATATTTTATAGTTCTATCAATATTTTATTTTTCTATATTGCTATGTGCACTTTGTTCATCAATCTTTTATTACCAACCTTCAGATGCTGCGGCAAGTTCCTCGGTGAACGACGTATTCCTGCGGGCACCTAGAAATAAAAAATTACGATTAATAAAAGGAAAGGAGCATAGAAGGAATCAGGTAAGTTACTAACCTGCTGATCGAGCCTGACAAGCCGTACAGTTAGTGTCTTCATTATAATAATAAAATGAAGACGGAAGAAATAAATAACGGAATAAATGCCGTGCAATCGAATTGGCTCGAGTTCTTATTTACTCCGGATGATCACTTTGACCCGTCACTGAGGAATTCTTACAGTATCATGCCGCTGTATTGCGGAGTCTCTCGCTCACTGGTTTCCCGCCAATTTTCACAGCTGGTCGATCAGATATCAAGCAATTCGCAAAGGGAAAAAGGAGGGAGGTTTTGCAGAATTGGAGGGTATTTTAAAAATTCACGTGAAATTTTACATGAAACGCAACATCTCTTTTATATAATTAAATAAGATCTCGAACCACGTCACAAAGGAATCAATGACTATTTATATATAAGTTACTTAAACGTTACAGAGTTACTAACGCTTGCTGCTCCGACACGAATATACATATGTAATAATTCTAATATTAATGATAACGCGTCTCGGGTCTTATTCTAGGCTCCTACGTATTGATAATAGCACTTGTCTCTCCCTCTTTCATTCGCACACACGTTCTTTCTCTCGCATTCTATCAAATTATAAAGACTATCGCCTCAATAATGTTTATCTACTGAATTGCTATTTATAATGTATACATATTTCACGGCCTCTCTCAAGACATATGGGAATTCGCAATATTTCACTTTGTTTTTCTTCTTTGGTCTTTTTCACATTTTCACACGCTTAATAAAATGCCAACTCAGTAATAATAAAACTATATTTCCGCAACGAATTGTTAGATTTCCTCATCAGCATCTAGATATGCTAATTCATAAATTTTTCTTTAAGACCGATAGTAAAATCGAAATAAGAATTAAAATATTGCTAAATTTCTATTAAATTCTATTAAATAACTCTCGATTCGACGAAGAATATTGCCGATTCCCAACTTCTCGCGCTAGCTCATATATTATATATTTGCTCTAATATGTTACACAGACGAATGTCGTTATACACATGATGTTAAACGGCTCATATACGATCCAAAAATTTCTTCGATCAACAAGCGTGTGCACAATAGTGTAGATTCTTGTTGCATACGCACATTTAGCGCTAAATGTTTAAATATTATAAACCTCTTAATATTATCAATGAAATATTAATTGATTATATTAAAATCTAAAATTATACTAATCAATAAATCACCAATAGATATAATCAAATTATTGAAAAACACAATTAATACGCCACTTGTGTGTCTGCGTATATTGGACAAATAAAATACAAGTTACATTTAGCGTTATATGTGGTGCTACGTGAGAAAAGTGAAGACGAAAATCGGTACGTTAACTTAAAGCGTACGATGTAAATAATGCAAACACCATAAAAAAGTCAAAGAAATTTATGCAAATTGTTAGATCATATATAAATAGTTTAACACGAGCCGAAGTATCGAGTCGCGCTTTACATTTAATTACACTCTTACTGCTGAGATTGTCTTTCCTGTAATTCAGCCAATTTCCCGTTCAACATGATTCCGACGTATGTGTCAACAGCCCCTCGCTTCTTGCTGCTCCCGCCACTACTGCTGCGTGATCCTGAAGACTGGTCCGATCCTGAGAAAGAACCTGCGCAGCACCGATCTGAGTTCAGGCTTCAGATCGAAGCACATGACCTCGCAGAGCGAGGGATAGCAGGTGGAGGCATGAACCGCAAAGCGATGATCGCTCATCTTGAGAATTCGGGTGAGCAGCAGCAGCAGAATAGGCGTCCAGGCGTCACGGTGGGCCTCGTTGGCGATCGCGAGGAAGTACTCGAGGGCCTCGCACGCTACCTCGACCAGACGCGCCTCGACTTTCGGCCAATCGGCGCGATGCGCCTCGTCGCTATACATCTTGAAAAGAATGCGCAGCGCGCAAGCGAGCGACTGAGTTTCCTGCTTCAACAGATTCGGCTTCATGTTACCGCGAAAACCAGCCTTCCACAGCACGTTGCGTTGCTCGTGATCCGAATTAAAGCTCTTGGCGAAGCGATGCGATCGCAACAGGCATTCCACTAATTGCAGAAGATGATTAGTCGTCAGAGCGCAGTACATGCCCTGTTCTTCCTTCTGCTGATCGGCGCCGGCCCTGAAAACAATTTATATGAATTTATATTTATAAAAATTGCACATTTCTTCTATCAATTGTGAATTTAAATGTAGCAAAGTTCATGCAAAGTTCATGCAACAACACTCACTTGACAAGCTCCGACGACTTGCCGTTCAGCATGTCGGCCTGCGCGAGCGCCAGATTTTCTTGATCCTCCTTACGCGAGGTCGCCGGATAAAAGACGATATTATCGATAGTTTGTATCAATTCCAACTGTACCACACACTTGATCTGCAACGCGGCAAAGAGCTTCGCTTTCGGTAAGAATTCCATGTTCAGACTTTGCACGCTGTTGCTCCTCTTCAGGATGCCGATGTGATGGCCATCGGACTCGCCAGTTATCACGTCAAGATCGGACTCCTTGTTGGGCGATGGCGGCTTCCACGTTAGCAGTGCGGATGGTAGAGTGCTCTCAAAAATATCCAGAACGCATTGACACGTTTTTTCCCAAGTCTGCTCGTCGAACTTGATGCCATTGCTGATAACTAGATTTTCCAGGCAGTTGGTGCCCGATCGGGCCAACTGTTCATTGTCCTGCTGAACGCACCAAAGCAGTTGGGAGTAGAGCTGTTCTAATAAGAGAGGTCCCAGGATATCATAAAACTGCGAGAACACATCCACAATGGCGTACAGCGCATGATTGCACGTTGTCGTCATCCACTCGGCTTTCTGCAACATTTACATAATTTAAACATTTCGTTTTATTGAATTTAAATATTTTATAATTTAGGAAGGGCAAAGATACAATTAAAATAAGTTTTACTTTAGAAACTGTACGAACCTCAGTGTGCTGCTCGGGCAATTTCATGTTATCAAAAATTCTGAAGAGAACCTGAAAGAGGTCCTTCCACCAATGAGGTTTGAAGGACGCACCGTGGGTTTTCACGACATCGAAGAGCACTGTCAGCGCGCGCGTTCTGACGTCCAGTTTGCATCTACTCACTACGCAGGATAATTCAAACAATAGTGGAAACCACCCTCTCACCTAAAAAAATAATAAAAACGGCATATATTAATATCAAGCAATCGAAAAAAAAAAAAAAGAGAAAATGAGCAAAGATACCCAGGCTCGATCTTCCTCGGAAACCATCCCGCTGTCGTCCATCATACCCTCGGCAAACAGATTGGGATTCAGGTCGATATAAGACGCGCAAGAGCGTATTAATCGGATCGCCTCCATGCTGGTGTCTGGGAAAGATGCGTTGCACGCAAACTCGCTCAGACACTTGACGGCGTCCTGGAAGGAATCCACCATGATGCTGAAGTCTTCTGCATATAGCTCGTCTATAAACGTTTTACAAAGATTAACGACGATTGTAACATAATCCGCTTTAAATCTGTGTTAATTTAAACGTAAAATATTTCCTTTCCAAGACAGAGACACAAAATATAACTCACTGATGATCTTGCCGGTCATGGAAAAAGCCAGCTCGACGACAGACTCGTCGCGATCGCTGGCCGCGTGATGAAAAACGCTGAAAATATTCTTCCAGCCAGATCTAATGTTGGGCGCCTGTGAGTGAACAATCTGTGCTACGCATCGGACGACCATATCTCTGATTACGGGCGACCTGAACAAAACACATCGCATTATATATGCAGAAAACGCATTAAAATATATTACAAAATTAGATTCAATCAAAATAGAATTTATTTATTAAATTTAAAAATTTATATTGAATTGAATACAAATAAATCAGCTTATTCAAACAAATAAAGTTCAATTACCTGTTCTTTTTCATGATGTGCTCAAATGGCCTGAGAAAGTCCTTTTGGAACCTAAAGTTGGCAAACTCGCCCTTTTCGATAAACTTAGTCGCCAGTTGTCGAAGAGAATCCACTGCAAAGAATGCGATATCCTGTCGAGGACTGCATCCCACTCTATCAAAGTGATCGCCGAGCACCTGCCAAATCCTGGACCATTGCAACCTGATGCGGCCCATGTTGTAGTACGAGATCTCGACGATCTTCGTGAGAGAGAACATGCGGGGTTGCGTGGGGTGCGCCAGTTCCTCAAGAGAAACCTGATAACGAAATATTTATCATTCGATTTATTGCGTAAAAAAATGACCGATAGAATTTAAGGAAGAAAGACCTGGCAGAGAGCCTTGACGAATTCGACGATGGCGTCGCCGTCGAGTCTCGTCGAGCCGGTGAAGATGCGATCAACGGCCACGACAACGCTCTGCGAGCTGGTCTCGCCGATAGACTCCTTCACGCTGGGGTCCAGCGAGCTCAAATTGAGATTGTTTTGGTGTGAGCTGGCGGAATGCGCGATATTACCGAAGTTCACCAACGGCGACGGAAAGTGCGGTTTAGACGGTGGCCCCAGCAACTGAGGCCGCACTCCAGTGCCGATCAGTTGTGCCAACTCCAACTGAGAGATGCATTTGACTACGTCCAGCCACGAGCTGCCCAGGTAATTGCCGTCAGTGTGGGCTACCGTAATGAGGGTTTTGATGGTGTCGATGTTCTTCGCTTTCATCTCGGTAATGGGAGAATTTGCCGTCAGCAAAGTGAATCTCGCCAATGCCTGTACGTAGGCGTCGCGCTCGAGACTCATGTGAAAGATGCAAGCAATGCGAATGGCACACCTAGAATATTACATATAAATAGTATTATAACAGAGTTATAAAACACAGAGAGCAGCATAAATTATTTCTTTTATTCTTTTTTCTTTATCCTAACTTTATTAACATTATTTTAATATCTAACTTAATTTTAATTCTTCTCTCACCTAATGCCATCCAGACAGAGCGATGCGATTTCCGGATCGTCGCAATCTTGAAGGCCGACGCTGAAGGCGGCGAGGAACGGTGTCCACGCCATCTTGAACATTGGTCGCACGTGTTCCAAGTGCTTCGCAGTGGTAAATGGCGCTTGAACATGACTGACAGACTCCATCAGATTCTTTGCTGCCGTCGAGATCACTTCCATTTCCATGTTCCACAACAACCGTCGTTTCTTCTCACTGGAGATCAGTTGCTTGCCGGAGAGCCGGCTGTTATTGGGGTTTGACTTCATCTTGATTTCATTGCCGGCGATTTCGTCATAGATTCTGGAGAGATATTCCTCGGGGAGATCCTCATTATCGCTAATGCGCCGGTTAAGCCTGACAAACAAAAAACAAAAATAAAAAAATATTTTTTTAAGTTTACAGGTTTAAAAGTTATCTTTTAATTTTGATATATTTTTAAAAAGAATAATTACTATACGTGTTGATATAAACAATATATAAATATAAAATATATTTAGTTTCTTATATTATAAAAAATGTATATAAATAAATAAAAAATCTATAAAAATATATATATTTAAATATGTAAAAATAAATATACTTTCTATAAAATTGTTTATAATTAATTTAAGAATTGCTGTACTTGATGTATTGTTCCTTTGTCATCTTGTTCTTGACCTGCGGCGAGTGCAAATCGGTGGTTAGCATTATAATCGAAAAACCAAGAATGTAGGCTGTATCCGCGCTGGTGAAAAGGCCATTGTTAGGATTGCATTCGCAATAGCGGCTGGCAAACTTCTCCATCAATCGGTCAATCTTTTGCGCCTCGCCAGGCAAGCGGAAACCCTCTAGAAAGTACCTGAGCGCGGTTACCAAATCGCGCTCGGCAAAGTTCATTTGATCAATGTAGTGGTACATTACCTGCAAACAAAATAATATTTAATTAATCAAACGAAATAATCATTATCTAATTTCACAATTATAGTTCTACATTCTGCATTACTTGATTGTGATTGTGATCACCCAGAAAGTCGCCGATTGCCGTTTTATCGAGCCGCTCATCCAAATGCAGCCATCTGGCCACGTCCTCCGGCGAGGTACCGAGTAATCCTTGCTCTTGCAGATATTGCACACCTTTGCCAGGCTTCCGGCTGAAGATCTCAATGCCGGTCTCCCATACTTCCTTCTGCTGCTTCTGCACTTCGTACTGCTCTGGCGAATCCGGCACCTCCTTATTGCCGGTCAGGCTGGAATTGGCCGACGACAGGCTGCCGGCACTGCCGTAGCGCGGCAGCGGAGTTTCTGGCGCTGGATCCGGTGGATCCGACAGCGGTTGCTGATCTGCCGGTACGCTGGGATTCACGTACAGATCACGGCTCCACTCTACCATGCACTTTAGGATAGATACAAGGCACTCGAGGCCGCGAATGCGCATAGATTTTTCCTGGAAGAGAAAGACACTGATATTAAACACAGAATTATATCGTTTCTCGACAAAGGATATTTTTCTTTATAAATATTTCATTTAATTTGTTTTTTTTTTCTTTCTCACTGCGCTTATAACCTACCTGATTTGGTGACGCACCAAGCTCCAGTGCTTGGCGACCCTGCGCGATCTTAGAGAGATCGTTGACGAGCCTCTCGAAGAGATTCGCTGCAGAGAGATCGCAATCATAGTTAACGTAAATGTCGACAACGCTCTGAGCGTCCGCACATATCCTCGTGAGTGCGTGTATGACCATCCACTTGTGCTCGAAGGAACTGCTGGACGTTTCGAGAATGTTCATGAAAATTTCCTTAAAGAACACCTCAATCTGCATCTTGAGATGCACTTTGAAACGTGCAAGAAGTGCTAGGAACAAAGCTAACGACAGCTCAAACACCTCGGGTACCGAGGACACGCCATTCTTCGACAGCGCGACACACAAGTACTGCTTGATAGCGATAACGAACATCTCGTTGGAACGCAGAACAGGGCCAGCGTTTTGCAAAATCCCCAGAAGCAATTGTAACGACAGAATCTTAGAGCGGAGCTCGTGTGACTTTGGATCGGGTGTGCCATCCGGCAATGGCTTCATGGAGAGCTTGCAGAGAGCGCGAAATACCAAGAATGCATCCTTTTGCAACACATGAGTGAACTTGGCGGTGACCATGTTGTCGTTCTCAGCGGTTGCCTCATCACCATTGTCTTCCGGACTGCCGTTTTCTAGACTGACTTCCTCCTCCAATGGCACTACGGAGTTCACCACGTCGTCAAGAATTCCTTTGACAATTGTTTGAGATTCAATCGCATCGTTATTCGAGACGTTGTTCTCCGCGCTTAGTTCAGCTTCAGTCTCGCCGTTTACGACACCAGCGTCTTGCTGATGCTCTCCGTCGATCCTTACGTTTCCTCCTCCGCCTGCGTCTCCATTCGCGCAAAGATCACGTTGATCATCTGCGTGAGAGTCGCACGAGCTGTTGTTTGATTTACCAAGTTGCGAGACGCTAAATAGACGTTGTAAACGGTACGGATAGTCAGCAGCACTGTACCCTCGTGCACTTCCACATGTTGACTTGTCATCACAGTCAACAGGGCTTTGATGATCTGCAGCTGCACACCCTCATCGGTCTGTGTGCCGGTGAAACAGCCGCAGATTGTTTCCACGATGCGAACAATCAACAGTTTGCTTGGTTCTGTTGAGTCAGGTACATTGCCAGTTAAATGGCCATATGCAATTAACTTCTGCAGACAGTCCAGTGCCGTTACAACAATCCGTGGCGACTTGCTCTGGCATGCCAGCTCGAATGGCAGGAAGTACTTCTCCGCAGTGATAACATTTGAATTGCTTTTGGGTTGTGGAAGTGCATTCGAAGTTATCTCTTCACCCTGCACAGCTGGTACATCCTTGATCTCGTTGCGAAGGTCCTCTGTAATATAGAAGTAAATAAATACAAATAAATACAAATGTAACTACATGCAACAGATGTGTATAAATTTTGAGAAAAATCTCTCTATCTTTACCAAGTGCAGACTCGCAGGACTTTCTAAGCTGCGAGAGATGCGATCGCTTGACATCTCGATCAGCTAGTATCTTTTCCAATGCTCTGACGATGAACATTTCTCTGGTTTTAGAATTATTTTGCATCATCACCACTCCCCGTGCCGCAGCTGGAAATCTACGCCCGGTTCACAGCTCGCGTTTCAATGTGTCAACATGTGGCAACATTGAAGCTGACAAACTGCTATACATATGACTATATTGGATTTGTGCCTGGCTGCTTGCCAACATTTTTCACCATCTTTTGCTTCTACATAAGCTTTTCTTGTTAATCTGAGAACACCATGCGGATATCAGTAAATCATATAAAAACGAATAGGGCTAGATAAAATTGCATATCTGAATAAGAAGTGATAATATCATTTACCTGAGTAAGAAGATAACCAGATAAAATTTTTCAGAACAATAATAAAGCCACGAAAGCGCGGTTTCCTCGAAAAGAACTTGTGACCTACAGCATTACCCATTAACGAAGCCTCGAGCAGACATATACGTCAACCGACACCAGCCGCATTCGCATTGACAGCCACCGGAACGTAACTCAAGGAGTGCAAACTCCCCTCTCAGAAGAAGAGGACGATTTTCAGCGCTATCTGCAGCTAAAAGTTGCAACAAACTGATTTAAGTCATATGACAAGTCGCTCGTATTTTAATATCCAATAAAAAAATTTATTTTCTACGGACAAAAACTGCGTTCGACAAAGTCACTAGAAAGCAGATTTTGCTATTGAATATATCTCACTTACATTAAGCGTAGTATGAATTTTCCATTAGTCTAATGAAAACTTTTGTGTGAATTCGACAATTCTATTCGTCGAATTCACGTGTAATTTTTATTTTCACGTTTCCGTACCTAGGGAAAAATTGAAGAAGTGGAGATGATTCCATTGTAGAAAGAGAGTGTAATATTATCGGGAGGAGGATCTGTCTCATTCCCACCAATACACGGTGTAAATGTGGAAGGAGTACAGACACCCCCCAACTACTATTGCTCTTTTTGGCCCAAAAACTACACATTGGCTCTTATGGGAAGACTCTTACCAGTATTGTAAAGCTCAATGAATCCCAAGTTTGAATAGTCGCCAAGTGTAAATCTTCACTAAACAATACTAAATACGTCACACGTTTATTGTCAACTCCGAAATTACGAACGGCATAGAGATGTATCGCGCAAACGTAAGTATAATTTCTTTTGTAAGAATATGATTAATTATCAATTATCAATTATTGAGACTAATAGAATGAGATAGACTCGTGGAGCGTGTGTTTTGTAGCAAAATGATCAACCGCAGAGAGAAAATGTGGATGAACTTCATCAGAATTGTCTCAATGCAAGACAGACTACTTCCATGAATCAAATGCCAATGACAATTTCAGAACAGTTCAAGCAATCATGGCTCACAGCTATAATTGGATCCATCATGTTTGCAACCGGAATGTGTCTTCTATTTTGGAACGAGGTTATAAGTGATACACACTTTTGTCATATGATTGATTGATTGATCTTTAAAAACTTGGCCCTACGTGTTTTTTTTTTTTTTTTTAGGGTCAGAGCAGTAAAAGTAGCACATTCCTTAGATGAGGCTCTACATAATGTTGCTGTGCTTCCTAATTCAATGATACTGTCACCTGAATATGAAGGCCGTTTGATACATATATCTGGATCATTATTGGTCTCTGAACCGTTAACTGAGCCAGATTATGGAATTGTTATGTCTAGTGTGAAGCTAAAGAGAAGAGTACAGATGTATCAATGGGTTGAAATTGAAGAAGAACGAAGGTAATGTAAACAAATACATAAAATCAAGTTTTAAATAAATATGACATTAATGCATAATACATAAAATATAATGCATATTGCATACCAAATATCATATTTATTTTTTATATGTGTATATTCCTTTATATGTGTTAAATTGTTTTATTTTTTATATTTTTAGTTTTGGCGGAGTAACGGAAGAAGAAAAACATTATTATTATACAACAGAATGGAAGGATAAGCTTGTGGATTCTGATCATTTTTATATTCGTACCGGTCATCATAATCCAAAAGAAATACCAATCAAAAGCCAGATACAGATCGCAGATGAGGTGAAGATCGGCGTTTTCACACTCAGTGCGGAATTGAAAAAAAAGTTCAGTGACTTTGTGGAAATTACTAGTGACGAGAGACCAGAGCGAAAAGACATTAAGATGCACTCAGGATTGTATTATCACAGCGCAGATTTGTGGAATCCACAAGTAAGTTGTCTGTGTAAAATTTTCTTTTTAAAATATAAAAACATTAATAAATTTTGATTTAAAAAATTAAAATAAAAATTGTTTTACCAGGTGGGAGATCTCAGACTACAATTTTCCTATGCTGGGAAGGGTGGAGATGTCTACTCGGTAGTCGGTTTACTGGAAAAAGATACGATTAAGCCATATTATACGTCTCATGGTGAGGAGATTTTACTTCAACGAAGGCATAAAATGTCCGTGAATCAGATGTTCCATTTGGAACACGTACACAATTACTGGCGAACCTGGACTATCAGGTACTTCATTGGATTAAAATACAAATGAATATACAAGCTATCAAATCATAATACATTTTTTTAATTTTGTTGCAGAGGACTTGGATGGCTGGTTCTGTTTGTAGCAGCGACATGCTTAGCTAATATATTAAAAACTATTATATTAAACTCCACCTTCCTGTGCGGTATAATAGCAGTTGAATCTCTAACCATGTCGGTCTCCATGTCTATCAGTTTGCTGGTGATCGGCTTCGCTTGGGTGTGGTATCGACCGGTGATTGGTCTCTGTCTAGCGTTGGCATCAATTTTGCCATTTATTTACTCGACACTGTCATCAGGATCCACGCAGCGTGATAACTATAGAAGATTATAAATCATGAGTACAATTAATTTTATTGCAATCTCTAGTCTTCCTTAATCATTTAAGACATTTGTCATCATTGTTATTATGTATATTATGTATTATAATAATATAATTGAAATATATTATACAACTCTCAAATTTATTTCTGATGAATTTAAAAGCGATGATAACATGGTAAATCATAAACTATATAAGATTTATGAATAATTATGATTTTATCATTTAATAAAATATTTTGTTTATATAAAAAGGTTAGTATAAAATTGACCATTAAAATCTATCCATACTACTTAAATAATGCAGAGAAAATTCATGAATTATATAATTATAGCAGTAATATATTCAGAATTTTTTTGCTAAATTTTGTTTGTTAAAAAACCTTAATTATTTTTTATTTTGCATTAAAAATAGATTTATTAATCTATTTTTTTCATTTTAGTTAGTGATTTTATTTGCTACTTGATTCGCTATTGGCCAACCTGGTTCGTTATAAAAATAATTGGCCTTTCGCGCGGACGTTGTCTGCAGTTGTCTGACGTCGAGCGAAGATGGCGAGGAATGGCGGCGTACGGTTGTTACTCCTCGGAGTTTTCGGTATTTTTCTTACGGAACATTGTAATGGTGCGACGACAGACATCGAGCTAGACGCCAAGGCACAGCTATTGCATCGGCTTGACAGTCTCAATCTCTTACTCTACACTTTCTTATTGATTTTAACCGTTTTAACGATATGGATGTTCAAGCATCGCCGTTTGAGGTTCCTCCATGAAACTGGTTTAGCTGTCATCTACGGTGAGTCGTCTGCTATCATAACAATTTTCTTACCTAGTACGCAAGCCGAAACGATGATGCGACAAAAACGGCACGCACGTAAATGTAAAAAGCATATATTACAGTCTTGCAAGATTCTATCTGTCTACTACTTGTAATATTTGTACACGTTTGTTTAATCATTAAAATGCCTTAATTTCTTTAAAAATTCTATTTTTTTAATTTTGCTAAGATTTTTTCCCTTCGAATTATAAAAAATATAGATAATTAGAATATACACAACATTATTTTTAATGCAATTAATAATTTGAAAGCGTTGTGTGTACTTGCTGTTTTTTTATTGTCAATTTTAAAGACTGCTATTTAAAATAAAAATTTGTGACTTGTATAATTATTATAATTTTATATATCACTATCGTGCTACAAGCTAAAATAACGCTAAAGGCATTGTAAGAGCATCTTTTTATGATATCTAAATTTTACTTTTTATTATTCATAATAAATAGCAAAAATAATCAACTAAGATTATGTCTTGCTTATTATTAGGCTTGATTATCGGAGCGATAATTCGCTATGGTTTCACACCGAGCAGCACTATTTTGCATATGCCGGTGGTTCCGGACAATACCAGCAAGTACAATCAGTCGGTACCACCGGATACGTTGTGGCTACGCTTCCCCGAAGATAAAGGCGGTGGTATCATAAAAAACAAAACATTTGCATACTCATTTCGCGGCGAAATTCACAAAGAAGATAATGAAATCGACTTGAAGGTAAATGAATCATTTGCGACAATTGTGACTCATGATTGTTCGTGGTTTTTGAACTGCAAATTTCGATAATTATCAAAAATTAAGACTATAATCTTATATATATGACAATTGTCGTTCCAGGCAACTTTTGACCCTGAAATATTCTTCAATATCATATTGCCTCCCATCATTTTCCATGCCGGATATAGCTTGAAACGTGTAAGTATTTTATTACGCGTAATAATTCATTAAAGAAATTTATAATTTCTGTTCATACTCGCAACTTAAATTCTTGCAGAGATATTTCTTCAGAAATTTGGGTGCGATTCTTATGTACGCTTTGATAGGAACTTCTATATCAGCTTTCATTATTGGGTAAGTTTTTCCTTTAATGTTATTATTTTTTTGCCAAAAACAAAATGTCATTTTTATTTTATGTCTCATTTGATTGTTACTTATTCTATATAGACATTTAAGAAATTTTATTATTAGTAAATGCTTTGCAACAAATTAAGTATTTACTAAGTGTTTACGTAAGTTATTGCATATTGTACTTGCATAAGTCACACTTTAATCGAGCTTATCTACTTTTTCCATATTTTTTGTTACGTTTAAAGCGTTACTAGTAAATGCTTTGCAACAAACTAAGTATTTACTAAGTGTTTACGTAAGTTATTGCATATCATATTTGCATAAGTCACACTTTGATTGAGCTTATCTACTTTTTCCGTATTTTTTGTTACACTTAAAGCGTTGTTAGTAAATGCTTTGCAACAAACTAAGTATTTACTAAGTGTTTACATAAGTTATTGCATATCGTACTGTGCATAGGTCACACTTTGATTGAGCTTATCTACTTTTTTCGTATTT